GATAACCCCAGAGGAGCACTGCCAAAGTTTTCACAGCAGGGAGGGGGGATCCACAGGAGGGGGCTTTGGATTTTGAGTTCACATGTCTTCTCTAGCAAACAACCGTTTCAGAGAAAACCAAAAGAAAAGAAAAAAAAAAAAAACGTCAGCTGGTTTTAAATTCAGAATGAAAACCAATTGATTTCATTATAGGCTGGTAAGCAGAAGTTTAGCTTGTTAGTCTGTTCTTTCCTCATCAATATTGACACCTAATGCGTTAAAGGAACGGAACATTTCATGTTATGCGTGAAACTTTGTTTTATTATATATTCTTTGGGAGCGGTTAAACCACCCAAAGGTGAGAAACGCTAGGTGTGAACTAGGACCCAGAACAAAGGTTGGCTGAGTCCATAGTCACAAAATGTATATGTCTTATAAAACCTCATATGAATTTTCTGAGGTTGAACAGCCCCGATTCGGGATCTAGTCTCTGATATTTAACAAGGAATGTGGCCCTGAAGGAGACCCTTCCACATTAATTTGTGCTTGTGAGGTTTGTCTCCAATGAGGTCCTCTGAAACCGAGCAAGGTGTGTACTGCGGCTTCGGGGGGCTTCTCCACCTTCCCTGCATATGGATCCCCCTGTATCATAACAGCGCAGCAGAAGCTAAGGCTTCCCAGAATGCCCTGCATTTCAGACTCTCCCCCTCCAACCGATTCCCCATGGTTTGCTCACACGTGGTCTGCTTCCGGTTTTTAGTACATGCACCATGTTTAAGCATACCTGACGGGAATGCTACTAATTTGGGATGCTGGTTTCACAGTTGTTAGAAGGCGCGGCGTTTTTCTCATTGTACCACGTGGTACAATCGAAGCTGCTTAGAGAGAAGTCCGCGCTAGCCAGAGCATTCCGGTGTCTCAGCTTGGCCTTCTCCTTCTGGGAACGCAACATCGTTTGTTCGTTTTGCTTTAAAATAGGGCTAAATGCAGCCCAAAAGATTTTTAAAAACTATAACGGATGTTTTGTTATTTTTTTAAACTAGAGTTATCAGAGTAACAATCATGATTGATATGATACATAACACACTAATACTAAAACGATCATCAAATGAAGAGTTGATTAGCAGAGAGAAAGTCCATGTTTTTATTTTTCTGTTGGTCTTCTGCACTGCCTTAGAATTTATATGAAGAACAGTTTTAGCATATATTTTTAGTCATTTTAAAATTAATGTTTATGAATTTTTAATATAAAAACCATTCTATTGTCAGGAAAGCAATATTAGGATATAGACCAAAAGGCAGGTAAGATGGGGGAGCGGTGGCCTTCAGCAGCTTGTAACAGGTCATCTGGAACTCTCTGAGCATCCTGTATGCCTTCAAAAGAAATCCAACTATCATTTAAATTAATTATATTTTAAACATTTGTGTGTGTGTGTGTGTGTGGGAGAGAGAGAGAGAGAGAGAGAGAGAGAGAGAGAGAGAGAGACATGACATATGCTGGGTTCAGAGACAGCCTGTGGGAGGGCCTTCCACTGTGTGTTCTGGGGGTAGAACTCTGGTGACCAAGCTCATCATGAATGTTCCAACTGTAACTTTGCTACTGTTATGAATTATAATGTGTGGGAAAGGCTCACTCAATCTCCAAAGGGGCTGTGAGCTGTGATACACAGTTGGGAACCACTGGACTAGATTATTTGTTGAAGCTGCTTACTGTACTTTAATCACCAGTGTAAAAATGATAGGTACCATGGGCGAGGGTGATCATGGAGCTGCCCTGTAGACATCATGGGTGAGGGTGACCATGGAGCTGCTCTGTAGACACCATGGATGAGGGTGATCAGAGACATTCACTGCTCTGAAGTTCCTTTCCAGTCATCCACATTCTTAGTTCCTTCCTAAGGAGCCTGCATTTGAAGTCATCCAACAGTCCCTATGACAGAGACTCAGAGTCCCACCCTAAACCAGTACTCATACCTGAAGTAAAGATGAGATGCCACATATGGTGTCTTATTCACTGAGCATTTTGGACTATGATTCCCTCCTTCCCTTTCTTCTCAGATCCTAGGTTCATGCTCTTCCTCACCGTCTCTTTCCTCCAAGTCTCTCAAGTTTTCTGGCTTACCTAGCAAGATTCTTTCTTGTTTTATCATTCATCAGAGATTCTACCAAGCCCTCTCCTACCTACAGACAGCCTTAGCTAGGTGAGAGACTGTAGCTGTTGATTAAACGATGTGTCTGTAAGGTTAAGCCAAAGTTCAGAAAGATGCACATAAATTATCAGTGCATTGATCGAAGCAACAGATGTATCTTCTTTAGAAACAACAAAAAAACCCTAAAGCTTTAACACTCTACTAAGAAAACGTCCATCCGTGTTGGGTCAGCCCAGTGATGCGCAAGCCCATGCTCACAGATAGGAGATCAGACGCTTTGATTCTAACAGTGGGAAATTCTGGGTAACTGGGGAAATGGTTTCCTAAAACATTGCCGCAATGACTTGCGCTTCCTATCCTGGCCATTCATACAAAACAGTCTGGCCCACCATTTACTATGGTAGCATATTCCTTTGCTCTCTCTTAGTTCTCATGGAAGGAGAACAGGTGAAAGGCATGAGTGTGCATCTCTACTAAATATTGAATTAGGACTGTGTCCAAAGTCTTGGAGGACAGCTCATTCAACTGGTCACCCTGGAACACGGAGGACTTGCCATCTTCCTGTCAGTCCTACCGGGGGGGGACCTTCTAACGGCAAATTATGTCTCTGATGGCGGTGGCTGACAGGAAGAAAAGCATATGGTAAACTGGGCAGATGAGCGACCTAACACGGTGTTTCTCTTTGTCACTCTCACCGTATGTATAAGTGCTCCCCACGTCAATTTGACTTTGTGAAAAGTGAAAAGTCTTCTTTCCTGAAGCTCTGATAAAAACAATTTCATCAACGTTCTTTGGTGGAGCAATAAAGCAACACCTGGCAGTTCGTTCAACCAGCTTTTTCACCCTAGCCATAGAAAAGCCTGGGTTCTCTTCTCATAATCCTTTCCCGCTTTATCACTTAATCCAACCTGATAAGTGGCCTTGTAGTTCTATTTGCGATGATGACGATTTGGTTTTAGCCAAGCCAAAACCTCTCTTACAACATTGGCATTGGTATTTTATTAAAGTGAAATCCTTTATCCGTAATCAGGACACACACACACACACACACACACACACACACACACACACACACACA